TTTCCAGTTCCAAAGCTTCCTAAAAAAATCTTTTCTGCTGATCGCGAAATTGTTTATACCATCTGTTGTTTAACTATACCAGACGCTTCTCTTCCGCTGCTTTATCACTGTGATATCCACTATCACTCACTGATTGTGTATCTGTAGCAGAAGGGTACGTTGCATGTGCATTCGATCTTATGCAGATTTTGAACTTGGTCACAACTTGTAGATACAACCTGAAAGAACAGAAATCTATTGCAAAAAAAAATTCAGGCTCAACGCATTCAACTTTGAACCACTGAAATCGTCTCAGAAAGGTTGCGCGATTCGCTAGCGTCCGCGGTCGCGTTGCGGTACCAGCCAATTGAGTGATTCACTGGCCGCGACGCGACCGCAGACGCTAGCGAATCGCGCGATTCGCAAAGTCTGACATCGGCCTAGTAGAAGAATTTGTTAAAATCGCACGTCATTGTCGTTGAGATACGCTGTAGGTGTTCGCGTCTCATGCGATTTATGGCTCGGTTTCGGCGAAGTTGTAGGCACTTAGCGTTCACACTCGGCTCGCGGTGGTAAATTCCGTAGGTAACTGCGTTCTGTTCAACTCCAGCACGATGCATTGCCTGCAGTACAAAAGTTGTTAACAGAGATACGCCAATGATGAAAGGAAAAAATAAAGTGCTAAGAGTCCACGCACTTGAAGGACCTTCACAGCCAGCGAAGGCTCCCCCACTCGCCGCAAAGCTCAATCAAGATGCGTAAGCAACTTGCATAAGAGGAAAAACTTTCAGCTGATGTTCCTTCCTTAATCAATACGCTAACTCCAAGCTTTTTTAAACAATAAATAGCAGTATCTTTCAACAAAAACACTTACATGAAAAGCCAAGAACAAGATTTTTCGCTTATTTGGGGCGATGGAGATGAGGCTAGGCAACTGCATAAACCATAATGAATAGGCATAGAAAAGGAGCGTCTTCGGCCAGTGTAAGGGATTTGTGCGCACAGAGTTGGTCGCCGCAAGAATGGAGGATTTCATTTCTGGTTTCGTACGAACAGCAGCACATCGGTTGTGTTCTAAAAAATATCATAGAATAATAAAGTTCTGTAGGCGCCCAATGTTCTATCTAACGTCATCTTTCAAGCAGTACGAAGCACTCCAGACAGCATACATCAAGGTTCCCACTTGAAAGAAACGGTCGCGATAGATCCCGTAGGCAGGGTGAATATTGCTTGAGGAATTCTCAATGCACGTCGAGGATTCTCTGCCCGGTCAGACACGATCTCTCGCGCGGACATTCACACTCGCCATGGGCGTGCCGTCTGTGCTCTCCGCGCGGATGTTCACTCTCGGCACTACTCTCACATGGTAGAGAGCTATGGTCGAGGAAATCCTCGACCGTTATTCACCCTGCCGAGACTGGATGAGGGGGATGCATAGTAGGTTGGGCAGGGACCTACCGAATGAGGCGATATTGGCGCGTACGGGCAATGACACCTCATCAACAACAAGACGAGGGCGCCAGACGAAGCTTCAGCTTATAGAGTTTTCACTCGCACACCATATGGGACGTGAAACAGGCAGCAATGGCAGCGTACTTGATATAATATCGTTATCGCTGTCGTTCAACTTCAATTCTAGATTTTACATCATGCTAAACAGCTGTGTTCTCATCTAATCGCATTGCATCTTCTATGAGATCACACTCGTTCAGCCATTCTCCATCTCAGCTCTTATCCCAACCGTTCAACTCTAGCGTTGGTACTTTTTAAAAATTTAAAGCTCCCTTCCCAGAGGGGTCTTGATAGGACTCCCTACCACGTCACTTTAAGGGGGCCAACTATGGAATCGACGCTCTACCACCCTGACCATCACCTTCACCCTTATGGCAGTCTATTTATAAAGTGTTTCTGATAACATTCTACAGGTTCTAGTTCTGCGCGCTTCTTCCTACGAAACTGCTGTCAATCGGGTGTAAATATGTCGAAGGAACTGCAAACCTCTAACGTTATCATGTAAAAAATAAATGAAAATGTAACGTCCCACTAGTGAAGCTGTCGCCGAAATTGTCATAACCCTTCTAAGCGATCCTCTTTCGCACCACGAACCCATGCAATTCCACAAATATGACCCCCACGACCCCTCTTTCAACTTCTTGATATTCGCCAACCTCAAATATGACCCCACTCATTGGTAGTTGCACCAACAGACGGTTGAAGCTGACCAGCGCTACTAGCTATAAGCCTTTAGTTTATTATCAACTCTTCAGTCGTCAATTCATCAATCGGTAATAACAAAAGGCTTCGGCACGAGTCAGACTTTGCAACAAATCGCTAGCACTGCGTTATTCGATAACCACTGCTCGCAGTTTGATACCAGTCCAAACATACAGCGATCTTATTCTGCACATGCGGCTTCTGGTCATAACACATTTTTTTTGCATTTACTGCAATCATATCAGGAAATAAACCTTCACAACATACCATACTGTACTGGCACAGTGTGTTCTGCGCTGCGATTTAAATTCAGTTGATCCAGCTGAAATAATGCAGGATCCAAACGACGGGGGAACCGCTCGTACTTGAATTCACGCTCAAGTCCCGTAGCTGGATCAATGATCGGTTCAGGAGGTGCAATGAATACCTGGAAATTGTACTTTGTGCACTAAAACACATAAAATGATGGAGATAATAAAATCGTTTAGTGGCCTCCAGCCCCTTCTCAGTAAAATGAAAAACAAAGAGATGCCACTCACAGAAGTATTGTTTATGTGTGCTGAGGAATCACTTTCAAGAAGAGGCACATCAACTCCTTCTGAATCTGAAAAGTCTATGAAAACATCATGCCTCATAACCTTTGAGAAGCTCTTACCACTTCCGTCCACCTTCGCTATACAATCATCAAAGAAAGCGTTGTAAGTGCTCTTATCGGATATGAAGCTACGCTCTTCGATGAAACGCATGAAAGACTGAGTTGCGCCGAACCTATGAATGCCAAAAATTCTTGATCAAAATGCCAAAAAGAAACAAATTTTGAGCAGTACCTTTTGAAAAACTCCATCCCGGATTTATCCCTTGATTTTAAAAAACCGTCTAAATCGAATAGGTTTCCTGTGTCAGTTGCGCTTATACTTGATGGTGCGCTTTTGATGGGCTTCAAGAATGACTGGTACCCACGCATTAAATTGGCCATGAACCTGAACAACACATTGAATTGTGTCGCGATCAAAGAAATTTAGTAGTACGGTACTGAAAGATTGTTCAGAACAAAGCTGATTAACCTTAAAAACGCGTCGTGGATCGCCATCTCCAGCTCTTTTCGCTTCTTTTGTATCACCATTTCACGATCTACAGGAACGTAGTCTGCTTTTTTGCTTCCAAGGTCGAAGGCTTCTTTATTCAACCTGAAATAATGCGACTCTCATACATGTTAAACTAATTTTACTACTACTACACTTGTACTTTTATAATAATGGCTAAAGGAAAAGATGAATGTTCGATTCCGGAACCAAGGTTTGCCACTGTCATTACAGTCATGTGCTGTCCCACTTTAGCTTAATTTTCAAAAAAGCAGACTCTCCCAACCTTCTGAATAGATCATCCAAGGTAGCCTTCAACTGTTTCGTTGGTTTCTTCGGGAGAATTGACAGTTTTAGTGTTTGTCGATTCAACGACTGACTTATCGTGGCCGTGTCCAGATCGAAGCAAGTCACATCAGGTGGCGGATCTTCATATAAGTCGAAATATCTGTACAAAAATTTATTATGAGCGTTAAAAACACGAACCGACATATTTTGTTTCTCAAAGATAAGATAGGCGAAAAGACCTTGAATCCACTCCAGCAATGAATGGCAACGGAGCATGAAGAACTCCGGCTAACCCGAGCGGACACTGAGGAACATAAGGGACATTGCCAATGGAAGGGAAACATTAGGGCACATACGCTTTCAGCAACTGCAGTGAGCATCCACGACCTGCACAACACAAAACATGTAGAAGTGTGTGACTGATTCGCCACAATATCCAACCTCAAGTTACAAACCTCAGCGAATGGACCAATATTTTCTGTTCCAATAACGCCAGCATCATCAGGTATATAAGGTTATCTGTGCCGAGTGCTCTCAACGTGTCACACAGCTGAGCGCCTGAAAAATGATTACCAATCATGAAATATTAATATATTAGGTTGTCCTGAAAGTCTTTGCCCATTTCCATGTGTATGTGGGAACATTGCAAAGTTCACTTCATCCAAGCAACGACCGTCAAAGAAATCTGAAGATGGTTCAGCAAAAGTTTCCAAGCCTCTTATGGGATGTTCTGTCTCGCCTATTGCGTTCAGCAGCCCTAACAGAATACCGTCTGCTTCTGTTGCTGCTGATTAAACTAAAAAAGGAGAGCTTCATAATCCGGACTTACTCGAAAACGGACTTCTTCCAGTTTTTTGCCTTGAAAGCTCAGGACTTCTAGGCAAACGGCATTCACGAGTCACCTGCTGAAAGGCAATATGTTGACGATTATGGTGGGGCATATGATTGTAAATTGCTGACTGGGCTAAAGAAGAAAAGTGGTTTTGAAAAAAAAATTCACAAATGGCGAAGACTTTCACATACTTTAATTATGGTGTCATGGTGAAAGCTTACCATTCAGAGGTAACTGGCTTTCGTCGTATGAGTCGAAGCTGATTGTTTCAGATCCCAGCTGCATGAGAACGTATGGACGGCGTGGTGTAGGAAAAGACACTTCGAACATCTAGGATATGTTATTGATATTTACAAGAGACTATTTTTCTAGATTCTCTGAAGCTGTAAAGCTGTGAGAAAGCTCTAACAGTGGGCTATTCTAAAGCGCTAGGGAAACTATCTCTGCACCCCATGAGCCCGTACGACCAGAGTATTTCAGAGGTAAAAAAGGGGTATATGTATTGCGAATCAGAGTATTATCGCTGAATTGTTTTTCCCCTGCCGATGGTGTCTCTAGGTGATAACTTCATTGACGGAGAACGTTTCGACCAGACACGCAACGCAACTCAACACGCACGCATAGTTAGTTATGAAAGAAAAGCCGATGGGGATTTGGCGACCCCTTAATTTTAAGCGTCCAAACTGGTCACCCATCGATAATGAATGTAGAGCTGCTAAGAGGTTCAGTAGAGATAAAAAGACGGGAATCGGCTTAATCTTGCAGATACAGAACTCTTGTTTTCTTCTTGATTAACGCGTTGTGCGAGTCTCTTTGATGCTAAATTCTCATGTGAATGCTAAGAACTGCCTCTCTGTTGAACGACCATAGTCTTGCCAGCAGGAGCTGGAGTTGCCAATCGGTGAGGGTAGGTAGGCAAGGGAATTCACCGCCGCGAATAAGGCTCTATTAGACGACTGCGGGTGCACACTTCGCAACAAAACTCGCCTCATGGGCCTTTTCCCACCATAAAAAAGCGTATTCTACTATAAGGCTCCAATGTATTGGATTGAATGTCTCTAAATATGCCATTACATATTCCCAAGTTGGAATGCATAAGCTTAGGCGAAAAGCGGCCGTATTGACAGAACTTTTCCCAAAAACGAGAGTGCTATCAGTAAACTTTAATAAAAATACGTTTAAACCATAATATGCCTAACGACCCACCAGATGAGAAATGTAACGTTCAATCGGTACAGCGTGCACTCCTCCTCCTATAGACATTCTGTGGATGTAATAAAGGAAACGTTTAAATGAATTGAAAAACGGATATCGCGAGATGATGCATATGGCAACGTTTGTGTAAAAAGTCATCTGAAACAAGTAAATTAAAAAGAAAAACGAGACTTTCAAAACTCAAATAATTTTCAAAGATTTAAAATATTTTGATTAACCTCGTCAGCAGGATCATTGTTACTAGAGCTATCCTCCACTGCACCAGCTTCATCTGTCCGACCTGTTGAATTGAGCTCCAGTTGTTCTAGCTGCTCTTCCGACAACTTTTCATCATACTTTTCAAAGAAAGAAACAGAAGCGCCATAAAACTTTGTCCCATTCTGAAAGCCGAAGCTGCTAAACAGATTGCGGAAAAGCTTTGGAAACCTATAAAAACTTTTACCTACCTCGTCAGTAAGAACGAAAGTTGAGAAAACTCTGTCAGGTGGTTGGCATTTAACCGGCCAGCATTCAATGAGTGCACCCATAGGAAGACAAAACAGAGATATATTCTGAGCCAATTTGAAGTCATCATCATTACTATCTCCGGATTTCCCTTTCGGAAAATAGTCGAGAACCTAGAGAAAATGTTATAATATATTATTATTATTATATTAGAATAAGATTAATAGCGCTTACTGATGGTTTATATGCCAATCGTTTTGTGGAGCACTGTGATTTTTTGTAACAGATGTATACATCCGATCCAACCATACCCTGAAAGAATTCTCAAAAACCATCGCAAAAACACGTTACGATTGAACTGACCTTATTCAAATTCTTAGGAATTTTATAGTAAGTATGCAGAGGAATTTCGCCCTTATTGGCAAGTATAACACAAATGTCGGTTACAACGAATTGGCTCGGTGCACTACTCGGAACAGCCCGCCGATACGTTAAAAATATATTCTAAAAGTAAAGACATTATGGAAAAAATGTCAATTGGAATTATAGACAAAGCCAGATCTAAAAGAAGAACTGACTTGAGACGCATTATTGACATTTGCCGGGCGTCCAAAAGGTGTTGTCTGCACGATGTTAGTATCCACCATAGGCTTTTCTCCTCGACCTGTGATTAAAGTATTGCGCAGATTAATTTCAAAACTAAAAAATCAAAGTGGTGATCACCAAAAAACAAGGAAAAACTAAGCAGGATTACTTCTAACCATATTCAATCAATCCGATGTCGAGCAATGGAGGCTTGTGGTATCCTCTGCGATAGCAGAGAAACACGCTCGGCATACGTATTGAGCCATGGTTCAAATCAGCAGGGTACCCCAATTGTGTGGTTTCAATTATTTCGTATCCTTCGGGAGCCTTTAAGCAACAGATATTATTAACGTTCAAAAGAAAACGAAGAAATACGACAGTCTCACTAAAAGATTGGGATGAAAATTCTGATCAAAATACCGTTTCACCGAGACTTGGGAATATGACACAGATATCAGTAATTGGAGCCAGAGGAGAACTGTTTCGGAAGCCAAATTCTTGTGATGACGGAGTGGCTTGTTCAGGGGCTTCCTGGAAGAGGAATTTTCTAAAATCCTTGGGTAATCATAATATCTGTAAAAAATGCTCGCGGTAACACAGACTGATCACAACACTCAAAAACTGTCATACCACACACTGCACTGCCAGGGGGGCCGTATGCTGAATGTTGAGGATGGAACCGGGATGGGGAAAGGTTGGGGAGGTTCGTTGCAGAACCACTTTGCGGACGGTCGTTAGCGGCGTCATATTCCAGCAAGACACTAACCGAAGAAGCTCCTTCTGGCGCATTCATAGTCGGTCGACCGATCGTAACGATCGTGAAGCATTGGATACATATCGATTGTCGGACATGTCACGATCGGACCGGACGATTGATTCGTACCTAATGCTGTGCGATCGTTACGACTCTTACGATCGGACGACGACTATGAATGCGCTTAAGACGCTGATGTCATTCAATTACTCAGTGCTTAGTCGCTGTTGAGTGCTCATGATTCTAGGGAGACTGCAACGAAATATCTACCTGTTTAGGTCACCTGTTCGAAAGCTGTTCGCTTTTGTTCATCACAAAAGTGCTACAACCGCTTGAAACTTATGGGACTGTGTCAGTTTCATGAACTTTCAATGATTCTCCATTCTTGATTATCCCTTCCGTTTGGCAAATGTGTCACGACACATTGATTAATAGCTGTTTTTTGAAATAAAGGATAAAGGATAAAGGATAAAGCATTTGCCGTTGATCAATCCCTTTTTGGGATGCGGCACGCATTCTACTTCCATTTGTACATTCGTAGTGGCGTTTGAATGCGATGTGGCCTATACAATGACTTGGGGGCCAGCCGATGTACAAGTCAGTGTTTTTATCCTCCCAGACAAGTCTGGTACCAATTAACCGACCCCGGAGGGATGGAAGGCCCGGGCGACTCACGACCCAGGATTTGATCCCCGGACCGCTCGCGTGGTAAGCGTGCCACTTGCCACTACACCACTTCCGCCCTCAAAACGGGTTAAAGAGCAAAATTTATGGAGGTTAGACAATGTTGTACTCAAAGACCAGGACTTACCTACTTCGACACTATTATAGCTGTTATTTATGCGAATATATGGAGAAGTAAGTTGATGCTCAATCTTTTGTCTGATTATTTTGACGGCTTTCCGAAACGTAAACAATCGCATCATCTTCAACACTGTTATTGTGATTCATTGCATGACTCTGCGACCGCGGGATTAACGCTCAAGTAAAGGAAACGAAGAAGAAGACATGGGCCTCATTATCATTTTTCGAAACTTGCATTATTTCGTTTTGATTGTACTATGAAGCTCCTGAAGAACCAAAATGAGTAACACTGTGAAGAAAATTCGCACTTTCTACCAAAGCAAGACGGTACCTGTGAGAGACCAGCGATCACAAAGTGTTCAAAAAGACGTCGATCATCATCTTTATTCGACATCGCCGGTCAACGCGACCAAGAATAACTTCTGAAAAAAGCCAATCCACTGGACATCCACTGAACATGTTAAACGGCGTTGTCAGCTGATCAAGCTTGGATGATGAAAAGTACATATTTTAAGAAATCTGTTAAGAAATTCTATGAAAATCACTCAATGTGCATCAACTCCGATATCTTCGTAGCTACTAGCCTGAAAAGAACGGTGGCGCAATGTGGTCGGAGGGGGGGGGCACTCTGTAGAAAGGGAACTGGGACTAAGCCTAGGCAGCAGGGACGACGGGGACAAAAATCGCCTCCGCATACCGGAGTTTCCCCTCTCCAAAGGCTTACTCCTGAAACTGAGCTTTCCCGTAATCCTGACGCGATGTCCGGTTTGCCCCGCCCCGCTCGTCTCCGTGCCACACTGCGCCAGAAACTGGCTTCGTAAACAATTCGAATAAAGTGACTACACTACATTTCAAAACAAATGACGAATGCGATATTGCTTTTGAAAACGCCCACCCATGTGATTCATTACAAGTCGTACGAGTCGCTCCACTTATCTTTGGCGCACCATTTATGAATGGAGCGCGAAACGCAAATCCAAGTACACTTCTGTTGATGAGGAAAGTATTAGGGTGGTAAAAAAGTCCTGAGCCGTTTGACACTTTTTTGTTCTTTGCTTTTTTATTCCGCGTACAATGGAATCTACTAAACAATATAATCACCATTGTTACTCACTACAGAGTCCCACCTAATGGGCAGGTCAGCGACCCCCTTCTCCCAGAACTGAGCAGACTGAGAGTCAAAGAAATCGCTGACCGCTCTTTCAACGTCTTCAACTTTGGTGAATTTTTTCTTCGCTAGGAATGCCCTAAGGGATGAAATAAGTGATAATCAGAGAGGGCAATGTCAGGGGAATAGGATGGGTGGGGAACCGCGTCCCAGACCAGCTCTTCCAATTTTGCACGGGTCTCTTTAGCTATGTGGGGCCTGGCGTCATCGTGGAGTAGGTGGACAGAAGTTCGTCTCGGTCGTTTTTCTTGAACAGCGTCCGCTAGTTTCTGGAGCTGACTGGCGTAAATGCTGCCGGTAGCGGTATGTCTTTGCGGGAGCATCTCATAATACAACATTCCTCACGAATCGCAGAGGTAGCAAAGAAGAAAGCTTTTGGGGTGAAGGTCCGATTTTGCTTGCGTCGCGGGTCTTCTCCTCGAGGCAGCCACACGGCACTGTGCTTGTTAGAATCGTAGAAGACCCCACTCTCACCTGCCGTTATCAAGACCTTCCAGAAACGCCTTTCGGTGCGGACAAAAGGAAATGGTACCCGATTGAACCGCGTGCTATCGGTCAAGACATGAGGGATCCATCGAGTCAGCACTTTCCTGTGGCGAGGGCGTGGAGGGGACCGAGGACTGTGGGATGGGTGCACCCGAGTCTTATCACAAGGCTGCGGGTGCTAACCTCCGGATCCTCTTCGACAGCGCCGAGAACGGTGGAGTCTTCCACTCCTATACCATTGTCTTGTCTTCGAAAGCCGTGTCTCCTCCTTCGAAGCCTGCGAACCAGAGCTTGGCACCGATGATGGAAGTGGTGTCCCTTCCCAAGTGCGATGCTGATAATGTTGACGGTTTCCCACTGCTCCTGTGCCGCAGCGCCATTCATTGAAGATGATCGCTCGAAAGTGCTCTTGTGGAATCGACATCATGATTAAAGTTAAAGAAGGCAACCCGGCAATATATACCTACTGCGGAGAAGTATGATCGACAGCGATAATCTATCACGTAGCAGATTCTAGGTATCGATCAATAAGCGAAAGTTCTGGAGCTTTCGAAAAATCGGCTCAGGACTTTCTTACCATCCCAAGTATAATGGTTAAATTGCCTTCATGCCAATAACCTAAACACTGTTTTGAAAGCGTGTTATAGACGTCTGTCCGAATCTGCTTTCAAATCTGCCGATCGATTTCTGAACAGCGTCAGACGGGCAAAAAAGCTGCGTCGTACGTTCGTAGAAGTCGAAGAGCGCGGAAATCCCTGTGGGTTGATCTTGCTAAAATTTGCCCTTGGGCGTTTTTGTCGTCTGGAACAGCCGAAAACATAACACCTGTCTGCTCAACAGAGCGTCCGCAATCTAACATGGCCTTCCCTTTGGCGCAGTTCTCTCGAGGGTGCGGAATGATACGCAATTGGCAAAGGAGGATTTGGCCTCTAGCATGGTTTGGCGCAGTTGGCGCTGCACACCCACCTCTCTCACCATCATGAGGAAGGGTCCCTATTCTCGGCGCATTTCAACATGGTTTACTTCTTATCCCTGCTCACTAGGCCACTTCTCTACGCCCCATTTCCTAATGCAAGTAACCTTTTCACATCGTAAAAAATCCGCATTTAATTATCAGGGGCGCAAATATTGGGTGCTAATCTAGATGGTGGGGAAGAGAACTACGCGGCTGCGCGGCGCTCTTCGTCAGCGCTTTTAAGGCTGTCTACGGTGGCCCTGTATTTCGAAACTGCAGGTGTGGCGAAATTTTCAGCGAAAGGCCCCGTTATGACTAAGCCTTACACTAGCGGTGCAAACGAACAGAGCGCCGCGCCGCGCGTGGTCTATCACCTTTCTGACCATAGCTATGTTGAAGAAGTAGCGATCACTTGGGCGATTTGGCTTTTGAACGCCTAGAAGAATCAGGGAAAAGGACTGTGTGGACGTTTTTGCCATACCATGAAAAGCTGTGCTGGAATGATGGTGCCGCCGGTATGCTGTAACGGCTGGAATCGCATTGCCCCGTAAGGGAGAGGTCCGGGTTCGAGCCCTGTCTGGGCGAAAGTTTTGTTCTCAACCCAGCATTCCTATAAGACATGTGGATGACTTTTCAGATGAATACATATTGGAAGCAAAGCTTTCAGTTTGCCTAGGGGTTCATCTTTTCCCACATCATCGAACAGAAGAAGCTGAATGATGAAAACTCGCGTTTACAGTAGAATATCTCATAGAGGAATAAAACGTAGAAACGAGTTATTTTTTGACTCCATCAACTTTGAAACGAGTTCAACTATTCGTTAGAAAGCATCTACCTTCTAGCTTTGATCCCTTCCTTCTAGGAAAGTCCAAAAGCTGGCGAAGTGAACCTGGAGAAAGTGTGACAGCTGTAAAACAAAAAGGACGCGTATGCAACTTTATATTAGATAAACATACAGGGTGGCTACTAAATATTGGCGCATGGTTTATTGATCATATTTCCAAAAAGAGAAGCTATCATATCTTCAGAAGTTTATTTTCATATACAATAAAACATGAAAATTCATTACCAAAGAAAGTGCTCGAGATGGCCTCCTTTGGTAGCGATACAGGCTTGAAGTCTCTTTTCAACTGACATCACCGTGGGCCGCAAGTAGCTGACGTCGGCGTGACGTGAGTAGATCTTCAGACCAGAAGTGGCGCACGATTTGCAAAACGACAGGCAGTTGTTGGATCTGGCTAGCAGACATTCTGCTCGACCTTGTGTACACACAAGGAACCGTTTCAAATTTGTCATGTTTGGGCAGGAATTACTTCTGAAACCATGACACCGCTTGTCTTTGTGGATGAATACATCAAAGCCAGCGCCCAGATCTACCCGGAAACAATTTTCACGTAATGCCCTTCTTCCAAGGACTCTTTTGACCTTCAGCGAACGTCATTGCATTCTTCAGCAAGACAGGGCGCCTCCACATGCCGCAAAATCAATGTTGGAGAACTGTGACCGTCATTTTCCACGTTACCACCGGCACAAAATGTTTGGCCATCTAAGTCGCCCGATTTGAACCAATTGATTTGGCGGTGTGGGGCTTCTTGAAGCAGAAGATGCCTTCTGAGCAACGTCGAAGTTTGGACTCCCTGAAGGCTTCCTTGGAGGAGGCGTGGAAGGAGCTTGACGTCAGCTACTTGCGGCCCACAGTGATGTCAGTTGAGAAGAGATTTGAAGCCTGTATCGCTGCCGAAGAAGGCCATTTCGAGCACTTTACTGGCAATGTTATAAGGTATATAAAGATAAACCTCTGAAGATGTAAAAGCTTCTCGTTTTAAAAATATGGTCAACAATCCATGCGCCAATATTTAGTAGCCACCCTGTATACACATATAATAAATAATACAGTATACGGACAATGGACGATTTTTTGAAGGAAAGAATATTTACAAAAGTCGA